TTCAATAACACTGTATTAGATATATTCAATGCTCACGCACCTTCTAAAACTGTTTATATAAAAAAAAAATATTATCCCTGGATAACGTATAACATAAGATGTATGATGAGGACGCGTAACGAAGCACAAGTCAGAGCTCGCAAAACAAAACTTACTCCACATAAGGATTATCATAGGGAACTAAAATCAATAGTAAGTAAAGCGATATTTTCAGAAAAGACTGCCTATTTCAAATTTTATGTTAACTCCAAACTAAAGCAACCAAAAATAATGTGGAAACATATTAAAGAACACGTGCAAATAAAAAGTAAGGATTCCTCACTACCATCTCATTTTAGTGACCCTAATGCCTTAAACGATCATTTTTTGAATATTCCTGGAAATAATGATGTTTCATTATACCTTCTCACTTTATTTGAATTTAATGGCTCTAATGATAGCTCTTTTCATTTCAAAGAAGTCTCAGAAGATCAGGTTGTTAAAGTTGTAAACTCTCTGCGGTCTAATGCAGTGGGATGCGATGGCATTTCACTTGATATGTTAAAGTTATTACCTAAAGATGCTATTACAGAAATAACACGTATAATTAATACATCGTTTGCGACACATACCTACCCGGATCTCTGGAAAAAAGCAATCGTGAAACCTATACCTAAAACTAGTAACCCTGTTTATATGTCGGATCTTAGGCCTATTAGCATCCTACCGTGCCTTTCTAAAGTTATTGAAACGCTTGCATGTAATCAACTAACAGAGTACCTAGAATCAAATAATATCCTTCCTAAGTTGCAGTCTGGATTCCGAAAAAAGCACAGCACTACCACTGCGCTTATAGCGGTCGTAGATGATATATTGACCGCACAGGCGAGTGGGGAAGGTACAATTTTAACGCTTCTTGATTTCTCACGCGCGTTTGAAACCCTAAATATTCCATTACTTCTGTCCAAATTATATTTTTATGGAATTAGTAGAAGCGCAACTCATTGGTTTGCCAGTTACTTTGAAAATAGGTCGCAACGGGTTGAAATGCACTCAAGTGGAAGGGACAAAAGTATCTCTGGAGAGCGACTTGTAGACCGAGGTGTACCACAGGGATCCATCTTAGGTCCATTACTTTTTATATTATATAGTGCAGATCTTATTAAAAATATTGAGTTTTGTAAGTATCACATGTACGCTGACGATTTACAGATATATATTTCATTTAAGCCTCGTGATGTTCACTCAGCTGTAGCAAAGTTAAATTTGGACTTAAGTCGGATATCTTTGTGGTCAGAGCGTAATGCACTAGTTCTCAATCCGAAGAAATCTCAGTATATGATTCTAGGATCGTCAAATCAAATAAAGAAGATCATACTAAGTCACCCTGCCATTACCGTAAACAACGAATCCATTGTAAGAGTGGCGGAAGTCAGAAATTTGGGGGTAATAATGGACGACAAGCTGCGTTTTGAGAAGCATATTATGGGTATTGCACGTAACTGCTTTTACAGGTTGAAAGTACTCTATCGTATTCGTGATTACCTAAGTGTTTCCTTACGTATCAATCTATGCGAATCTCTCGTTCTCTCAAAATTCAATTACGCGGATTCCCTCTTAGGCCCACGTCTGTTATCACGAACAAGGCAAATAATACAAAGGGTACAGAACGCCTGTGCACGTTTCTGTTTTAATATACCTCCACGTGCACATGTAACGCCTTTTATCAATAACGCAAATATCCTAAAGATGGACCTCCGCAGACGACTACACTTCGCCTCACTTTTATTTGGAACTATTAGAAACAAAGAGCCGTTATATCTTTACAATAAGTTGATTTGGGCTAAAGATCAAAATGAGAAGTATAATACGAGATCATCTAATTATAAATTAGTTTATCCTTTCTACCGTTCGGCCGCTTTTAGAGGCAGTTTCAAATACAATGCCACGAAGTGCTGGAACAACCTCCCGCCTCCCTTGCGCGACCTGAAAACAATAACTGGTTTTAAAAACAAGTACAAATTGTATCTACTTTTAGAACAAAAAAATGCTGCCGTTTAATTCTAATTCTTATCAGCTTAATTACACGCTATAATATAATATAATAAAATACAATGTAATATGATTTGATAAAATACAATGTAATATGATTTGATACAATATAATTTAATATAATATATATACATTATATTTTTTTTATAAACATATATCATAATTTATATACTTATAAGACACTCATTTTCTTACCTTTAACATGTGGCCAACGCGCAACGAGGTCTGTCTCGCGTTTTACGTTTCAAATTAAGTCACGTGTCCACTGCTCGATCGGTAAATGTCACAGTGCCACAGAGTAGGGATAAATATTGGTAACCTAAAACCAAAATGGAAATAAAGCAGCTGACACCAATATCAAATAAGAAAACATTAGTTCTAATTTTTTACTTACCTCTTCAGACAAATGATACCCACTGTCTATATAATTGAAAGGTTCAAACAAAAATAATTTAATTATCGCTATACTGCGTTGTAGGTATGTATTACAAGTGCACTGACGCAGCCGTCCGAGTTGTCTCGAAGTGCGGGCGGACTGAAAACCGGCGTCGGGATCAGAACGAATCTTAGTTACTGTATCTCGACTTTAACCGAGTCCCGTCCGTTTCACGGTCTTATGCTGCTACACAGACCTTCACTTATTATTGTTATTATTTTTAGTTTTTTTTGTTATGTTTACATTTATTTTAAGTTATTCTAATATTATTTTATATAATGTGTAGTTACATTATTATTTTTAAGTGTTCTATGTATCTATTTGTGCTTAGACCGTGAATAAACGTTTCTTCTTCTTCTTCTTCTTCTTAATGAACTTATTAGAATAGAAAATATATTAGCTTTTAGTCGTGCATCGAGCACCCATCATTCTATGTTAAGTGTCAAAGTAATTAATTCCATGTTAGTTAGATTAAGAAAAAATTATAATAAAGAACATGTATTAAATTTAGAAATTAGAGAATATTATGATATTATTAAGTCAGGTTATTATTTCACGGAAAATCAAATAGTAATTGTTTTAAAATTCCCTATTATTTCCAAAGACACCTTCGACCTATTCCGCTTATCTATTGTACCCAATAAAAATCATCAATCCATCGTTCCTCCTTATCCCCTAATAGCAACTAATAGAGAAAAATTCGTGTACATGGAGACAGAATGTCCGAAGTTAAGTACTCGGTATCTATGCGAAAAAGAAACGAACACTCAAATCCGAACACAATTCGATTGTATCCAGAACCTCATCGTTAATCAGTCGATAACAAAATCCTGTAAGATGACTAAGATCATACTATCAAAAGAAGCCATGGAACGCCTAGATGACAAGCACTACACTATATCCTTCCCTCAACCAACTACGGTCCATACAGTATGCGGGCGTGAAGATATAACTACATAACAAGGCAGTTATTTAGCCACAATACCCATCAATTGCTTCCTGCGAACGAATGAATTTACCATCACTAATATTAACGACCAAGTGGATGGTCATCCCCTGAAACTGATGAAAATACCGATGGATTCAAACGCAGAAGAAGCCCCGGCGCTACCACGAATCAGCCTAAACAGAATCGACCTAAAAGAACTACATGCAGCCCAGAATCAACTCATGATGCAAGAACCACTTCACCTGCGGAGGATGCATCTCCAGGCCCTTTATCATACAACATTTCCTTTTTACGCCGTACTATCAAGCATAGTAGTAATTGCTATAATTATCTCAGCTCGTTACTACTACAAGACTAAAAAGCAAGAACCGGTCCAGAATCACATGCAACATAACTATGAAAAGCCCGGAGAATCGAAAATGGAAAAGGGATTACCAGCAACTTTTTCGCTCAAAGTTCTGAAATAGTTGCTGTTCTGAGGGCGGAGGAGTTACAACATAGCCCAATAAGTAAAGAGCCTACACAGCAGCGGCCCCGATACATTCCAGTGGCACGAGGCGCAACTCAGCAGGAACGTGATCATTGAAGTCAACGGATGCAATCGGCGCTCGCCAATATTCGATTTCCTAATTTTTGTTCTAATAATTATATTCATTCTAGATCTAGCATCGATCAGATTCAATACCTTTCTAGTTATAATTATATTGTAATTTTTATATTATAACAAAGTATTTTTAAATCAGTTTCGGTTTTTTTTGGGTCCTTCGGCTGCAGTTAACGTAATTTATATGTATAATCTGTATTTATTTACAAAAGAAAAGTATGTTTAAGTATTTTTATCAGTTATCTAGTACCCATAGTACAAGCGTTGCTTTGTTTGGGACTAGAAAACATTGTGTAAAAATGTATCTAAAAAAAATAGTTTCCCTTTTCCCGAAGCGTGGTCATTGTTGTGTTCCGTAGGAGATCCCGGACGCCTTCCCGACGTCCCGAGCATGGCCACGGAGGGGGTTTTAGTGGATAAAAACCCCGTACAACCCTGTCCTACCCCCGACATCGGGTTTCTTTAGAGTATTTCCCCCCGAGACCGAAAAAAGGAGGACCGATGGCCTGTAACCTGCGATTCCCACATTTTGTTAATGAATGCTTGTCTGCTCATGTAGTGACTCAGATTATAGTGTCAATCAAGTTAGTGGAAATTTAGCCTTTCCATCAAAAATAGGCCAACAGGAGTATGTTTAACTTAAATTATTTTTATTATTAAAAAGCATTTAAATTAGGTGTTGAGAACAACAACAACCGTTTTTACTATATCGTTTTGGATACACAATATATAAAGGGAAACGAGATTTTATATATGCTCGTAGTTATAAATAATATTTTTACGGTCGTGAAGGCAACCCACAATGAAGGATGTTCATAACTCCGAAATTAAATCGACTATCAGTCGATTAATGTACTAAGTTAATATAGATGATATGCTCGTTTTCTTCCTCGTTCCCTGAATGCTGTGGACCGTGACCATGTACAATATGTCGCCAACCAGCGCGATCGCGCGATTCATGGACAGCCAGATAGCAGTCCATGGTATCCGCAGCATTCTCCGCCAACACCACATCTCAAGCTACTCTGCAGCTATCGCAACTTTCCACGCACCATACTTCGGCGCCGTACAAAAACATCGAAGAAACTAAAGCTCGAACCAAACGTACCTTAGTCGCTCCGATAGGATATTAGGCATCATTCAAGACTCGAACACCAACATGAAGTACAGTAATGGTGAATTAAAGTATTCTGATAAAAAATAATTTAATTGTTGTGTACAACGATAACTGTCGAATTAGACACATCGTTAAATTTATCGCACTATTTAGTATACAGTATGAACGTCTAATATCTTTAAAATATTTCGAAATTGATCACGAATAGACTGGTTTACTCATGGTAATGAGCACTTTAAATTGCAATTATCATTATTACTGGTACTGGAATAAGGATTACAACTCCACCTGCGTTGATTTTAAGTCCTTTATACTTTGGGTAGGTATACTAAATTAAAAGTGACCGACGAACACTGAGTTGTCTCGGCTGCTCGTAAATGAACTATTTCATTTGAAAATAACATTAAATAGACAGTTTTAATAAGGCTTTAAATTATAAAATAACACATGAATAATACAGATAATTTAACTAGCTGATGAAATTGCGTTTATGAGACTGATCCACGATTGGAGGAACTAACTTTCTCTTTTTTCTATCTGGTTCTTTAATTCATAAGAAAAGTTGCTAGGCGTTGCTGCCGTATCGAAAACATGATATGGATATAAAACTTTTGAAGATTTTTTTTATTTCATTGAAAGCGAAAACATACAAAACAGTGCAAAGGTTGATTTCAACAGACCTTCCGACGTATTTTTCATTCATTTTCTTTAAATAAGAAACTCATCAAAATCCTTCAAATTATGTATTTATTAATGTTTTAGCTTTCAAAGCAGAAGTCCGGCACTTGAGCTTTAATTTCATGACATCAAAACGAATACACATTACATTCATACACACACGCATGTATAAAATTTAAATGAAATCGTTTATTCTAAATCAGTCACACTCAACATAATCATGCCTCTTCTTTTTATCACAGTCCCGACGCTGGAAATAATTTACACACTTCATAACCTAGTCTTTCCTGTAACCGTGTTATATTCGCGTAAATATAGGTATTATTATAGGTAATCATCATTTTGTCCCTTCCCCCGTGCAATTGAGATTTCACTATCTAGAGTTAAGTGAATTCGGAGATGAATGATGAGGCGCTTTGTGGTTATGAAAGAATATTACAAAAATTACATTACAGAAGAAAATGGGGAAAATAAAAGAAAATAAAATACGTACACTAAGTCAACTATGTTTTTGCTGTCTAGTTATTCTACATTACAACAACGATATTGACATGGTTTGTCAATTAACATTAGTTTTATCGTAAGTCACAACACTTATTTTAAAGTATTTTAGTATTGATTTGAATTCATTTTAGTTATTTCATATCCAAACTGTGTGTTACCGGATGAAAATGAAAGGTGATGTTATGTATTGAATTGAAAACAGACGAAATTTTGGCAAGCTAGTAGGCGGTTCACCTGATATTAAGCGATAATTGCCACCCGTGGACATCTAAAAGTGGGGTAGCAGATGTGTTGACGGTTTATGATAAAAGCGGGATCCAGTCACGTCATTCACCAGACGGGAAGCGAAAGCATAATACCTTACGTCGGTTTCTGAGAGGGAGTGGGACGATTCATTTAGGCAACAGCAGACGCTGCCTGGCTCCACCATGTTCAAAACGAATAAGTACACAATTGAAGAAAAAAGAAGAGAAATTAATTCTTGATTTGCTTACAGTTCTACTGGTGCTCCTTATCGTGGCGGTAGTCGACAGAGCGTGCACGGATAGCCAATGTCCGAATTCATCGGAAAATGATTTGGAAATAGAGGGCGTCTTAGCGCATCAAGACTGCGACAAGTTCTACAAATGCTTTCAGGGAAAACCACTCGAAGTGCTCTGTCCAAAATGGCTCTTCTTCGACTTAAAGAACCTGCGATGCGATTGGGGGTATAACGTCAATTGCAGCGGTCGCAATATTCCAGAGCAATCGGATCCTTTGGATGACGATGAAATAACCAACAACGCCGAATCGGAGAGCGAGTATGCGGATGCTGATGAAAACATTTATGATGACAGCGAGCAGGAGGCCGTCAGCGTGGGCTTGGAGTTTTTCCAAAACGGCTGCCCAGTGAATCCTACAGTGCAGTGGCGATTACCCCATGAGGAGGAATGCAATCAATTCTATTACTGCCTTTGGGGAATGAAACTCAAACGAAGGTGTCAGCCTTATTTGCATTTCAACAAAAAGATTCAGGTCGGTGGCAAGTTAGATTTCTCTCTATAGGTTTGAATTCTTAAATTAAATTCTTTAGAGTATGTAAATTAATTTAATTAATTACGCACGTAAAACATTATACTTCTTTAGCGTAAAAAAAGAAAAATGCCCTAACATTTTATTTGTATTTTATATACTGTTTGTTTGTGAAAAATACGTTAAAATGCAGTTGACATCGGATTAATCAAATAACTTGGAATTATAGAATGTATCTTTTTGGCTGTAGATGTGCGCACCCATCGTCAAAATTTTACTCTCATATGTTTTTGCAAACATGCTAAAAGAAGTATAAGTTTGAGTTTTTCAGGTTTTGTCTGGAGGATACTTAAGTACACGTTCGTATTTATATTTAATACTGTTTTATTAGCCCTAAGCAGTGAAACCCAACCAACAGAACAATCAGATTTTCGTTTGGTACAGAATAGAGATGTAGAGACCAAAAAAAATCTTCATTCAATATTTAGATGTGCTTTATAGCGTGTTTTCTTATGTTTCTTCCGTTCTTTAGTTTCATCTAAATAATAATCATTAGGTCATTTGGGCATATGACTTGATGGTGAAAGCTTACGCATTGAATTAAGAATCAGTCTAGGAGCACATGACCTCCATGGAAAATCATATCAAAAAAGTGCTGTCCTTTTTCCCCGCTACGATTCTGTGGACAACGTCATTCCTAGGGCTCTTGCTTCCATAAATGTTCTTTAAATTTTACAATCTGCATGGCTCTGATTGGTTGGGAGAGGAAGAAAGCTCTTATCCAAAGAGGTGCTACAGTCAGAGCCTGGGTAGCAGCAGAGAAAGTCGGAATAAGAAATTGGTTTCTTTACTTAGATTACGTATTTATGATACTTACTGTAGAAAATTATAAAAACATTTTATATCGTTGACCTTATCTGTAATCATTGTGATTGTTAACAAAAGGTCCGGTATTTCTCACGCACAAAATTTACCAAGGTAATTCGTTCTTGGCACCATGCTGTATGGAATGCTAGATAATGTGTATGTTACTTACATTTTAAATTCATTATAAGCTGTTGATAAATAAAGTACTAATAAATCAACCGGTAGAGATACAATACTCGCTGAGGAACTGAATCATCTTGGGGGCATAGGCGTGAAGATCCTGCTGGATTTATGCATCAGGCAGATGATGCCGATTTAATTTTCGAACTGCGGCCTTCATATGCAAGGTAGTAGCAGATAATCCTTTGCATAATTCACGCGCATCTGTAATCCTATCTGCAGTGCCAAATACCAACTAAACAGGATAGTTTTGTCAATGGGCGAAGCATGAGAAAGCAAATAGTAAAAGTAAGGCAAATGATAGACAAGAGTTGAGAGTTCAATGAGTCAATGGTTTTATACGTCACTGATTACTCCAAAGCATTTGACTGCGTGTGGTGGGACTGTTTATGGCATATTCTGCAGACAGTGGATATGCTCTCACATCGATAGTCGCCTACCTTAGGCCTAGGTCCTGGGCCATGTAGCACGATGACGGCCAGACAATCTCGATAAACGGTACAAAGTAGGAAAAAGACCAAGACGCCGACCTTCCCGATGATGTTACAACGTTGAAGAGATTCCGGGAATCCTGGTTACCTGGAAGAGATGTTCTAAGACAGGCAAAAAACAGGGTATCGTGGAAGCAGCTCGTCAGTTCTACCACCAGGGCAGTAAACTACATAGAAGAAAACAACATAGTTTATAAAATATATTAATCTATAATATTCTTCGAAGTAAAGTTGAATATTTAACAATATATACTTAGGTAATAATAAATATTTCTTGCACAGGGTTTGGTTAAAATTTTTAATTAATGTTTACAGGTATGTGACTGGCCACGAGTAGCTGGTTGTGCTGGCTAAAGAAATGCGCAGTCTCTTGGCAAAAATAGGAGCGAACCTTATCGAAACATTTAATCCAACAATAGTTTTGTAAATTGTTACATGATCGTACAACAAAATTCCTCGGAATGAAAATATGCTATAATCCATTTCGATAAGTGTGTTTGAAAACGCAAAAAAATACTAAGTATTATCGGTTATCTTAACATTTGACGGCTAGAAGGCACAATCGTCTTCAAATTCATTAATTTCGCTTCATTGTTTTGTTAACGGGATTAGGAATTTTTGGTTAAAGTTTACTTTGACTGGAAACTTTACTGTTTTTTTTTACAAAGTCGATATAACTAAAAATGTGTATATAAAACTGTCGCATAATTTTTCGCCACAGCCTGGATTCGAACCTTCATCTTAAAAGACAAGACTTTAGTGCAAAAACTAGCACTAAAAATTTAATATTAAAAATCGACATAGATAATTAGTAACAAATAGTAAACAATAGAAAATACTTTAATTATTATTGAGTATTATTTCTTGATGAGTTCCATGAATACTACATAAGTTGATCATGAACGCTGGAAATTCGAAACGTCGGGAATTAAAATAGTTTTATTAGTTCATTTTGCTAAATAATTGTAGACTGAATTTTTTAAATATATTTTATAAATATGAAGGCTGAATATTTTATAAAAATTACCTTTCTGTTAATTTTAATTGTAGTTACATTTTTTATATAATAAACATACAATTAATCGAATTAATTATTATTTTTTTACAAATAACTTCATTATCAAAACATTTTAGAGCCGTGAGAGGTCAGTGTCGGGGCGCTCGCCTTTAATTCAATTTACACGAGCAACCTGAGTTCGATCTGCGGCGCCCGCACCGATGAAATTGTTAATTTTAAGTGCCGGCTTATCACGTGTCCAGCGGTAATGGAAACATCGTGGGGAAACGTGAACATTTTATTATTATTTATTCAAAACAAAAAAAAATTCGAACAATTGTGAAGTCCGCCAATCCGCAGTGAGGCTGCGTGGTGGACAATCCCCTGATACCCTCTATATAGAGGAAGCCTTTGCCCAGTAGTGGGGCGTTTAGAGATTGTTACTTTCACTTTACTCTTTACTTATAAAACATTTCATTGTTAAACACATGATATTGGTTGATATTTTTTTATTTGTTATAATGAAGAGGTTGGAATGGAAAATGGAATTAAGAAGATGAAGAAATACAAACATTGAAATAATGTAAAAAATACATAAGTATAATTAAATATAAGAACTCATTGCGTTGGTAGTACTATCACATCACATGGTACTGGCCAACACCATTTATTTTGTATAATTTCTTTAATTTGTTTTTTTTTAATAATTAATGAATTAACTTTTAAAGGTCCGTTATTATACATATAGTATAAATTGAATAGTATTAAAGACTGTAGGTTGGTCGGTCAAAATAAAATAGTGAGGATAGCGTAAACAACTTTATACATTAATTAGACTACTTCCTACTTATTAGGACAGAGTAATGTCATATACAAAGGATAAAGTTTTCTACCCTATCACTGAAATATTATGCGCTTATATACAAAAATATAATGAGACATCACAACTACATTACAAATCAATGCACTTATTAAATTACTAATACAGTTAATAAGATCGACCTATTAAATTATAAATTATTATTAAGCATGGTTTATTATATAATATTATACCAGTTATGGTTCAATGTTTATTAAGTATAAATGTTATTGCTGGTATATTAAGCAGTGTTGCCAGTGGATTGTAACAACAGTCTATATTGGGTGTTACAAAACTATCCGTAATGCCAAAAGGTCGATCCAAAAGCCAATGGGGCCTCGTTATAGAGTCCCACATAAAAATAAAAAAATATTTTTATTTTCACTGATGTGCAAACCCTATTTCAGTAAAATTAAAGAGTAAACTACGCAGAATGTACCTACATTTCTACCTAATTCGTGGAACGATCAGCCGGTGGAATGTAGTCGTCTTAACACTGGTACGAAGGCAGCCGTCGCTGCTATCTTCATGGCCTACGCATAATGACGTCGTAATATTCCGAATTAAAAAGCATCATTATTTTGCAAAAAATGTTGGGCTAAAGCTTCCGAATAGTACGTCTCGTTTTTCAAGCTAGAAAAAAATTTCCCAAGTTCCTTCCTTTCAAATTTCCGAGTTACCCAAGATCATAAACTTATTTATGATAAACATATAGATTATGTAGTATCGAAGGCGTATAAAGCCTTGGGTTTCATCATCCGTAGCACGTCTGTTTTTCACGACCTAAAACCTATCAAAATTCTGTACTGCTCCTATGTTAGACCTACGCTAGAATATGCCTCACAGGTTTGGAGTCCTCAATATAAGACCTATAAATCACGTATTGAGGGTATTCAAAAAAGATTTTTAAGATATCTTGATCATAAAGCACATATAAAGTCTAGAGACTACAATGATAGATGTAGCCGGTACCATTTTGTTCCATTACATGTTCGACGAAATATCAACGACGTTTGCTTGTATTTAAAAATTGTTAACGGATCAATAGACTCACCTGAGTTATTATCTGAAATCTTGTTAAATGTTCCATTGCCGAATAAAAGAAATCGTAAATCCTTCCACACTCCAAAAACTCGTACAAATTATAGAAGTAACCATTTTATGATAAGGACAGCAAAATTTATAAACAACCAAACGAATATTGATCCATTTCATACCTCGCCAGCGGTGGCCAAGGCACTTCTTACTAAAGACCACTTTGTCACATAAAATATATATATATATATGTTAGCTTTACTGTTATTTTTACCATAATTATGTTCATGCCATTGTACTCACGTGTCTTTTTTTTATTCCTTGTATTTATTTATTTTCTATTATTAACGTAACGTAAGTAACTGTAATTTAAGATTTCTAAATGTGAAAACTTATAAATGGCTTCTTTAGTATTTAATATCACTCAATTATCTTTGTTAATAGCTGTAAGTTTTCCGAATAAATTAAAATAAAATAAATAAAATAATCAATGAAAACCACTAGATTATGAGGAAAAAATTAACAAAGTTTTTAAATTTCATACAACTGAAATCCGTCATTACTGTGCGTCCATTATTCATTATAGACTATTATTTTAAGTTAAAAACTTACATTTTCACTTTTTTCGTTGTAAGAAGACACAAATACACAGATATATCACAAAAACCCAAGTTTCTACTTCATGAACATGTATTATTAACAATTTCTAATATTTAAAATTTGTGACTTAGTGTACACTTAATGTCTCGAATATTAGGTTCAAAATGAGTCACAGATCCGACTCGGATAGGTTAGGTTAGAAGTTTAAGCCTTAGCCTTCGATGTTAGGTTTTTTTTTATGACTACACCCAAGAACCACCCAGCCACCACAGAAAACCACCCAGAAAACTTTAGTGTAACCGTACTTTTAGTATTTTTAAACTCTTTTTTAATAATGCGAAGGTTATAATTTGGAAAAGTTTGTGAATTCGTAAATTTATACATGTTGTCAAACACAAAATGGCGGATTTATTTAGTGAAAATAACAAGTTTTAAATATTTTTTTTTATTAAAAGTAAGTGTTTGCCTTGGTTTTCACGGATATAATATTTAATTATTAACATTTCTCTATCGATTAAAATTTTTTTCTAGCTTGAAAAACGAGACGTACTGTTCGGAATTTTTACCAAATGTTGAAATAAATCTCGAAACAGTTGTAGGAATCGATTAGAAGATTTTAAATTGACAACATATGTTTTTTTCCAACTTGACAGGTTTGAAGCCAGTACTTGAGTATAATGACATCCTTGTATTGTGGTAGCAAACATTTATGAATGAAAAATAGAAAAACTATAAAAGTAGACAATAATTAGGTATAAATAGGTACGTAGGCTTTTCTGTTAAATAATCTGGTTCCCTGACATGACAGCTTACTAGGGTTGACAAAATTTTAGGCTTTAATAATTAATTATATTTTTACGGGGTATTTTGTAACACGTTGTATATATCTCTTAAAGTTAAAACTTCTAGGGTATTTGGGCTCAATCAGGTATATTCGTAAAAGTTTTTTCATTGTAGTTTTTCCGCTATTTGGGCATGCGTAAAAAATTAAACTATATTTGATTTGATGAATAATCAAATCAACAAAACGAAGATGGGCTATTGGCACACGACAAAGCGTCCATTTTTGAAACAAAAACAGGTGTCTACATCCGTATCTGAATAAACTATGGGCTATAAAAATATTAATTTAATTCAAATAATTGTCTGCTGCTAATAAATACAACTTAAAATGTATAAAAGACATGAACAATAGACACAGCGTTTATCTTCTATTACATGGAATAAAGATAAGAAAAACAAAAGGAAAATTGCACTTGATAAGTAAAGCAATAATGGCGATTAGATTACTTATTAGCAATGTTTTTGAATCATTCTTTTTATAGTCATATAGAATTTATTTCGTTGACATCATATTTCTTTTCATTTTTAAAAACATAAATCTTAGTGAACAGATTAACCATTTTTACGCCTTAAATAAAGGTTCGTTATCGCAAGAATACACACTGCTAACATTTGATTATCAGAGATTCGACTGTCCTCCGTCAAACTCTCCTCTGTTATGTTGAAGCAGTTTAAGTCAGCCTTCATATTTCTGTTGTCGAAATTTCCTGATAAGGAGAGGATAAGGAGTGGTATCCGAGGAAAGTAGTAGATTAGTGTTTTCAACTGAAAAAACCCGCCAAGCGCGAGTCAGACTCGCGCACGAATGGTTTGCAGGCTTCTCTCTTTCCATCCTAATATAAGGTCAAGGCAAGAGTGAATAGGCTTTAACAGCCAAGCTCTAGGTAAACCTGCCGGCGTCCGTCTTTCCGTCCGATTACAACGTACGTCTTCAAGGCAAGTGAGTAGGTTTTTATTGGTCTAGCGCGCTTACCATCAAAGGCTGCATCGCCACTTACCACCAGGTGGGATGGCAGACAAGTGCTGGCCAGTTTTAAATAAAAAAATCCTTATTAAAAACAATCGGAAGACATCCACTGTTGAACAAGGTTTCCATGAACGTATTCTTCAAATCTCTTCTCCAATATCTAACTTTGGCTGATGTTTTGCTGTCAAGCTGCTGCCGTAGATCCTTCATCGAACACAGTCTTTAATATCATAAAATCAAAATAAATAATAAAAGATGTCTGCATCCAACGGGCCGATTACATCACATCTCATTCGCTTATAAGGTAAAAATAAGAATTTGAAGCATAACGCCACACCTTCTATAACTTTCGCTACCTCGATATCTTTTACAAAGAGAATGTAATCACTACGTTTGTGATCTTTTATTGCAAAATGTCAAACTGAACAAATGGTAATTATCTGGCATATATAATATTTTATGAAGCATTTAATTTATTCTATTGGTCTATTTTTTGTCAATAGTGGCAAACATAGACTTTAAAATGGTGTTTGAATAATATTCAGCTGTGATAGAGCTACGCAACAGTCTTCGCTATTGCACGAATGGGCAGGTCCGTCCGGGAAAGTACCACGACTTCGTAGAAGACCGATGTAAAGTGAAAGTGTTATAATTTAGCGTTTCATCTGGCGAGAGATGTAAGCGTACCGGTTCTGCAAATGTTCATGGGCGGTGGTCATTACTTAACATCAGGTGAACCGCCAGCGCAATTGCCACATTCTCACATTAAAAATATTTTATAAAGATAAGATTCCATATATGAAGGATTAATGAAGTTATGTCTTACCGACAAAAAACACCTTTGAAAAATAGAGATTTATTCTATATGATCAATTATATTCAATATAAAATTAATAATTTACCCCTCACCTCCGCTGCATATTTTTTAAATTGTATCAATCTCTTGTTTATTTCAAAACTGTGCACAAGTCTGTTATTAAATCAATTCAAACATTTTATGAAGTGACAGAACTTGTGACGCGACTAATTATTTAGACCATTGATTTGAAATATCGTTTTAAAATTGTATTTTAACTAAACTTGACAAGAGAGCTGGTTCTTTTCTCGCGCAAAGGTTGAGCATAACTATTCAGCGAGGAAATGCAGCTAGCGTTCTTGGCACCATGCCGCGTGGATTAGGTTTATTAGATAATATGTAATTTTAGATAGATTTAATCTTGTAAATATTAGATCAATAAGACCTGTAACATTTAGTTCACTTCTTGATTTATATTGGTTTGTAATTTTAACTAACGATAATTACAATATACTTAATTGTTTTTCTCTCGCTGAAATTGTTAAAAACTCTGTTAAACTCCTATTAATTTTACTAAAACAAAATGTTGTAAGTTACTACCACCTATTTGAAACTATTAAAGGCTTAAACTATTAGCTGTGGTAGGGCCGTAGGTATTCGTGCTGTTGCACGAATGGACAATTCTGTCTGTCGAAGTACCACGACCTCACAGGAGACCGGTGGGAAATGATGAATTACACTTTGCGTTTCAGTTACGGGTCATTTTACCAAAAGGTGGCCTTTGGCAAACCTACGGGTGTTGTAAATGACCATGAGCGGAGGCTATCATTTAACATCAACTGAATTGCTAGCTCGCTTGCCATCTTCATACGGACCATGCCAACTTCTACAATAAGGGTGGAGTTTATAATGTTCCTTTTTAGTTTCTTTTTTAACTGTGATGTTTAACACTTTTACTGAAAAATCAGGGTTTTTCACCCCAGCGGAAGAGCCGAAATTCTCATTTAAGCCGACAAGTCATCTATTAATTTGCAATTCCATAAAGATATGAAGGACATCAAGCCTTATCTATTTACATTTGCAAGAAATTAGCAAGATATGGCAAAGTAAACTGTTATCATACAAGAAAAAGCTGTTATATCCAATTATTTTTTCGTGTATCTCACGAGTATTTTAATACAAGTGAAAGTTTTTCCTGCGCGTATGTATGCTTATAATTGTTTTTGATTGTATGTAACGAAATGATTTGCCAATTGAGAAAAAATTTTAATGGTAAGCCTAACACTAATTTAAATGTGTGGACACCACGGACCATTGCTTTTGCAAACCAAGAGTTTGCAGATGTCTTAAAATACGGCGGGAATAACTGAGCATCATGTGAACCCCATATTAGCTTGGTTACATTTCACATCGATTCAAGATGAAAATCGATAAACCAAAAGCTCAATCTCGATACAATAAATTGGTTGGACAGGTTGAATACGAAATTGCATTTTGAGTAGGCCCTCTTAATCAAAGCAAAAGTCCGTATGCCTACATACAAAATCATGTATCAAATTAAAAAATATGATGAACACGTGAACGCTTGACTAAGTGAAATGATACATTAGTACAGAGACTAACATCAACAAAAATGTAATTGTTTTTACTTTTCGTTTATTAATGGCTAAACTGAACATTTCTTAGAAATGAAACTGGTTTAACGGATTTATCGAGATTATTTTTAGTTTTAATTCCCAAACGCACCACTTCTGCAAGTCAAGATAAAATTAGCATGTTCTGCGTAGATCGACACAAAAATAAATAATTTAAAAACTGGCTGTAGCCCGGATTAACGATGACACGGTGAGTCCAACGCCTCAGTCTGTCCCGGAACCATGAACGCTGTAAAAGGTACGAAATGGAATTAAAACAAAAAATAAACGCGATAAATCCTTAAACAAAGTTTCATTTAGTAATGTGTAATCGCGTAAATACAAGAAATTATTATTTATTATAAACATTTTTTTTAAATAAATTAAATTAAAACCCTTTGAAGCACACGCCGAATGCCGAGACTAGTATCTGCAATAATACATCTGTTTTATTAGCACATAGTACACCATTACTTTTATCTGTCTGTACTGCCGCACTTCAATTAACTGAAATTATTGATAAAGCATTCTCATAATGTCTTTTCCAGGTAACAGATTAGCTGGGGGTATAAAAATTACCTGTCCCTTAAGTCACCATCTACACAACATTAGAAACCACGATGAGAGGTAAGCTTAGTTAATATCATTTAAATATGTTTTTATGTGAGAAATTGCCAAGCGAGCAGACGGTTAAGCGGAAACCGCCACCCATGGACATCTGCCACACCCGAGAGTTCCAGATGAGTTGACAATCTTTTGAAAATTGGGCTCCGACCACCTCGAAGCGAAAGGCCAGACAAAACGCGAAAGTTTTATACTTCCACTTTACGCCGGTCTGCTGTGAGGTCTTGGTACTCACCCGGACGAGCCTGCCCATTCGTGCAACAACCGACCCTCAACCCTACCATCGTGATAATACGTAATAATATTCTCATGATTGTGACTGGGAGCGATTTTAATAAAGCACCTTGTATTTCGGCCAAAGGTTTTAACGTCCATGAGCTATTCATCAGTCATTTTTTAGAATTTCGTTAGAAGAAATACTTTATAGCGATGGAAATAGTTCTTTTAGAGATGGTTTCTTCCTTGGGCCAAAACGAGTATAAACCAGTTTTGAGGGTGCTTTTGAAGACAGTATAAAATTCCAAAGACCGACAGCATTTGCTATTAAGGCTGTGGCATACTATTATTATTATTCATTATGATATTTTTGTATTTATAATTGTATGTATTTGTTACACTGGTTTTATTGTTTTTTAGTTTAGTATATATTTTACACCCAATTCTTTTATCTCCGGCTCGCCCAGTCGGTTTATTAGTAAAAAATACCTTAGACATTAAGTTCGCTTACACACAAGATTTGTGTCAAAGTTAAGTAAATAAATAATCTCGAAATAGGTTCGAGTTCTTACATCGACGAAAATTTTACGATAATTTGGTCTATTCTTATAAATAAATAAGCCTTTATTGCTGCTTTAAATTTTTACATGCTATAAAATATAAGTGTGCTTAATTAAGTTAACTTTAAGGTAAACTTAACTTAAGCTTAATGAATACCAATTATAGCATAAAAGCATCGGCAAACGGTTTATCTATTATACCAACATTTAAATCTCATAAAATTTCCCCAGTTATTGCAGTAATTTTGCTAGCGGCGGCCGCGGCGGCCGATGAGCTGTGCCCCACAGGCCAGGAGGCGAATTCGGAGGTCGGTCGTCTGGTTGTGCATAGCGACTGCGACAAATTCTACAAGTGCGTTAATGGCGAGGCCATAGAGATGTTCTGCCCCGACGGCCTGCTATTCAACTCGATGTTCCGCTTCTGCGATTGGTCGTCTAACGTGGACTGTGGCGAGAGGAGCATGCCGGCGGAGAAAGTGGTAACCGCCAACATAGAAGACAGTCCGGAGCAGCCGAACGAGGAGGAGGTGGTGGAGAAGACCGAAATCGAGTTCCTGGAGAACGGCTGCCCCGTTGACCCGGTGGTGCACTGGCTTGTGCCCGACGAGCAAAACTGCTCCAGTTTCTACTACTGCGTTTGGGGGGAGAAGGTGCGAAACGAATGCCCCCACTCCTTGCACTTCAACAGGAACCTACAGGTTAGTAAGCTTGCTTTTTATGGGAAAAAAGCGGCAAACGAAAAAGAGGATCACCTGATGGTAAGTGATCACCGCCGCCCAAGGACACCTGCAACACCAGAGGGCTTACAAATACGTTGCCGGCCTTTTAGGAAAGAGTATGCTCTCTTCTTGAAGGTTTCCAGGTCGTAACGGTTCGGAAAGACCGCCGGCGGCACCTGATCATGTCTTAGATGTATATGAAGTTTGGGTTTGTCTTTAAATGAAAATGGTACCCTCATGTCTTTGATGTGTATTGAGTTTGAGTTTGCCTTTAGATGAAAAATTTGTTGTCCAACATTTACCTATAGTACTGTGATTTGACTGGTGGACAGAAGTGTACCAGTGTAGAATATTAAAGAATAACTGAAATGGGTTTTGTAAGAAAATATAAAAAGATTTGTTATAAATATTCGATGGGAAATAATTGGGGTTTTTTTAAATTGTCACAAAGACACCTACTACGATTGTTAGGATTGGTATTCTCGTATGAGACTTTACTATTTTTAAGTAAGAGATCAACGACCTCTAACTTTGTATTTACTGTGTATGGTAAATAATAGAAATTTTGTTGGAAAAAAAATGATAACAACTAAACTCTACGATGCGATTGGCGTATTATATATTGGCGAGTGCACTTGGCTCTTGCTCTCCAGAGGGTGTGGGTTCGAATCCCACTACTCGAAAAATATTGTGTGATGAACATGGTATACTTATAACATGTATTTATTTACAGAAGAAAATTATGTTTAAGTATGTTTATCAGTTACCCATAGTACGAGCGTTGCTTAGTTTGGGACTACTATATATACTATATATATATTTGGGACAACTTTGTGTAGAGATGTGTCCCAAATATTAAAAAAAAACTTTATTTCATAACGTGCTACACCTAATTAGATTTATGAAGGCCAAATCTGATTACTTAAAAGGGCTAGAGATTTAATTTTTTTTTAATATAGAGCTAACGCTCATGCTATCTTAGTTATTAATGAATAGGAACAGACAAGACATCCATTGTTCAAATTCATGTTATAAATAATGTTTTTTTTTATATACATGTGTGACCTTGAATGTAAACGTGTTTTAGCACTGTTAACGAAGACCCATCGAAGAAGTGAAGGTCCAGAATTATTTTGTCGCCTACTTGTCTGCCATCTTTTCTCATGATTAAATGAAAATATCGTTTATATGGATATCATAGCAATGTTTACGAAACGATCGTTAGTTTGACGCAATAATTGTTTCATATTGTGCAATTGTAATAAGATGGGAAATATTTAAATTTCAGGTGTGTGACTGGCCGCAATACGCCGCCTGCACCGTGAGTGAAGCTGCTGTAGAGATCACAAGCACGCCATCTCCCGTTGAGGAGTCGTAACTTTTAATTATAGCTTATATACAGTCGATCGTAGTATAATTGTATTATGAATTCATTCACAATACTATGGTGATATTCTGAAGTAGTATTGAACAAAAGGCTATGAAATAAATATTTATTTACAACTGATTAACATTTTGCTACTTATTTAATGTATTTAAAATTGAAACCCTTTATTAATGTTATATAATTTTATTATTTAATGCGGTATGTGTCCTACATATTCTCATTAGAACAATATCGTCTCAGTGGTTGCGACGATTGGATGGAACAGTATAGTGTCTAAAGCCAACCGCGCGAAGCAACGCTTTTCGATTCGTCTAAATTAACGTGCAAAAATCCCGTTCTCTTTTAACTGTTACCAGACAGAAAGAGACAGTTAGCGCGTTCCTCGCACCAAGCTAATTTAGTCCCAAAACTGGGACATGTGATTCTCATATTACATTACAATATGGAAAGTGTTGCATAATTTTGTAAAAGTGGTTATGTGTTGCATAATTTTGCAATAAATAAATAAAATTTAATTAATATAAATATAATGACGGCTGCAGAGTATGTCGCTGTGAACCGGACACAATTGTGGGATAGTGTTTTAACGTTGGAACTCCGAAAAAAGAAAAACATATTGTGTATGTAAAAGATTCTAATCAACGAATAAAAATCGCGTGTTTAGGTGCCTAGCCTTTAAGCCACGATAATAAATCACAGTCTCACATTTGAGCCATGGCCTCAACGCTAAAGACGTATGCACTATCGATCTAGTGATAAGATTGAAACGCGACAAGCTAAGTCTCCCCAATCCGCTTGTATTAAATACATCCAATAATAATAATTGACATATTTAATCTAAATAGGCATTATTGTCTGATTTCACGATGTAAGGACTATGGTGATGACGTATAAAATTCTTCTATGTCAACGTAGTTCAATTTGCCTTGTAAATCGCATCTCCTGTTTTTAGGGAAGTTTTTATTACAGCAACTAAGAGATGGCGGTGGTCTAGAGATGATGTCGTGAGGTTATCAGCATATATTTTTGCAATATTAATACACAATATGTAACAAACATTCCATTTTTATATAAGCCAGTACAACAGATTGACGGCAACATCGTTGGCACAATCAAAGTATTAGTGATGTGTCTAGACTGGCCATAGTTTTTTAAATATAGTGAAATCTTTATAAGGAATACAAATAAGTTTTTAAGACAAATTTTAATTTACATTTGAGACTTCCAAATTAGGTTTAAAAAGTTCCCTTTCTTATCTCAAAAATGTGTCTATGTATTTTTTCACGTCTCATGATACTTCGATAGACTAATAATAAAAAAACTATGCATTCCAGCAAACTTTTTTGAATAATATTCTTTGTTATTATCCAAGCTACGCTTCTAATCTTTGGAACTCTTACCCTGTAAGAAGAGCATGAAGTAAAACCGTTTTCAAAAGATTGGTTCATGTACAATTATTGAAGACATCGATTACTTGAGTAATAAATTTTATTATTAAGTAAAGAAAAAAGAAAGTATATGTATATTAGTAAGTACATGTTTATATATTTTTTTATTTTATTTTATCCGCTTGCGCGTCCGTGTGTCGGTCTGAACGGGATAAACTCAAAAACTATTCAACGGGTTTTTATACGATTTTCAACCATGGATGGAGTGATTCATGAAGACGGTATACGAGATGTATAGTTTATTAAAGTTTTATATTAATGAGCTGAAATATGACCGTGGTTGTTGAATATGTCGGAAAAATTATGCAAGTATATAAGAGTTCTAACGTTTTTACCCTCATCCTAATATTTTAACTATTACTGAACTTGAATATTAACAACCATTATAACGACAAGCAGCACTAGTGGTTATATCACCGTCCGGGAACGCAGCCGAAATCCAAGTGACCACTCCTCCATGCGACCATGTGTCCCTTGGCTCAAGTAGATAACGTATATATATATCCGGTATAGAGTGTTACCAGCGCCAACATTCGGCCGTCCTGCATCACGCCTTCGTCCTCGAATGGCGTTGTAGTCTGGTACAAGTAACCTTCATAAAATTAACACCTTACCCTGTGGCTTATCTCCCTCAACTGGGATGCATATCGCCACGTTCAGAACACCTTACACTGTGGCTTATCCCTCAACTGGGATGCATATCGCCACGTTCCAAACACTTTGGTTCCACACACTGATGGTTTTCACAATGGATATCCATCACCACTTCATGCCTTAACTCTTCCAACTACTAAAATTGTCGGTAGCTTAACCGGGTAAATCAGTTGTGTATCGCTATTTTACATTTTCTCAAAGATGATAAGTAATTAATTAACTGGAAGGTACTCACAAAAACTTTCGTTACATTTTACTAACAGATTTTATAACCATTACGTAGAGTAAGTACGTTGGGTCGGTACCCAAGGAGAAAATATGTCGCCGATTGTTTGAACAGCCAAACGCGAGTTTTCTATTGAATCCCACTTCTGATATAAGAGTTCTAACGTTTTTACCTTGATCCTAATATTTTAACTATTACTGAACTTGAATATTAACAACCATTATAACGACAAGCAGCACTAGTGGTTATAAGTAGGACTAAGTCCATTGTCTTTTCAAAGGTCGCTTAAAAATAATCACACCTTTTTAGTTTACAACAGTTTTGTTTAGATTTTACGTCTACAGTTATACATATCAGAGGGATAGAGTTTACTATCTCGTGTCACGGTGTTTTTGTAATTGAACTCCTCCGAAATTTTGTGTGCATATCTGCCAGGGAGAATCGGACAACATCTATTTTTCATCCCCCTAAATATTAAGGTTGGTCCACCCCTAAATTTTTTTTCTACCCTACAATTAATTTATATGGCAAAACAACGTTTGCCGGGTCAGCTAGTTATCTATATTATTTGTATATATCGTTTGGTAAGACTTATGTGGTAGGTATCAACAAAATGTTCGTTGAATCGTGTGGGTTTTTTATGTCCGTGAATTATACAGCGTGTTATTACCATTGCGACAATAAATGAATACACGTCTAACGCTACTTGCCAATATTAATAAAAAAATATTAACGTTAAACAAAATCCATAATTAAAAAAAATATTTTTCAAACAAACTAATTAAGCCTAATCGCGCCACAGTGTCGCATTACAAGCCTCTCCTTCTAACAGTATGTTTTGTCTCTTTTAAATTCATTAAACCCATTCATATGCTTTGTGACCTTTACAAATGAACTTTACGTTACAGTTTTATACGTAAGGGTGTTCTAAAATTCTTTGTTTTGTAAAATTTAATAACTCTGTAAATATTGATGTTTAAAGAATGTAAATGTTTAATACAATTTTAAAAAGTTATCCCCTATATGTGTGTTCATTTATTGTCGCGATTGTAAAGATACGCTGTATAGGAACTTACATCCGAGTGTATTGCATTTCATATTTTAAGTTTAGTTATTGCATACAGCCAAACAAAAATCTTTAAATTAAATATCATGATGACATTATCACGACAAATAAATGTATGATGTGATGAAGAAAGTAATGATGTTTTTTGGAAAAGGTTTACGTTTTACCGTATGCAATACCAGCCATATTAGGTAGCTGTTATTGATATAGTAAATTAAATCGACGCGTTTGTATTTTGCCATTCCTCTAAGCATCATATCACTAGTTTTCAAATAAAAAACTACGTAGTATTTATCATGATAATCATAACATAATCACTGATAGTAGATAAATTTAAGTGATTATTTTGAATGGAATGATTGTTTTATGGTCTAATTAGTAAAATGTAGTATACATTATAACACTAATACTTTATTATTGCCATTTTTATATACCGCCGATAATAAGATGAAAGGTTATATTTTCTCCTTATTTACTTATTCCTTTTACTTGTGTCTTTAAAGTTGGATATGTAATACAAAACCATGAAAGTGCTTTAAATTGTTTTACAGAAATATTAGCGGTGCTGTTTCTTGGTGTGATTGGTATAGGGTATGCCAATAAATGCTCACAAGACGAAAATGGTTGGAGAGAACAAGTTTTGAAACATGAGGATTGTAAAAAATTTTATAAGTGTACCTCAGCAGGGCCAATAGTCATGTTCTGCCCTGACGGATTGTATTTTAACCCTAAAACTTTGCAGTGTGATTGGAAACAAAATGTCATTTGCAGTACAGAAAGCTTAATTGAAAACGAGCAAATTCCAGAAGATGCTGAAGTGTATGAAAATGATTCTAGAGAAATTAACAACTCAAAAGTGGAAGACGACAATGTTGAAGATAATCCCAATGAAAGGGAGAAATCAGACATGGAGTTTTTAGAAAATGGTTGTCCAGTTGATTCCAATGTGCATTGGCTTTTGCCTCATGAAAATGATTGTAACCTCTTTTACTATTGTGTTTGGGGAAAGAAAGTACAACAAAAATGCCCTAGTACCCTACATTTCAATAAGAAATTACAGGTATGATATTATTTTTAATGTATAATAAAATAAAGAAACAAAAATATGACAGCGGTATGACCAATGGCAATCAAAATCGAAAAATATCTAATAATTTATTAAGTATATATTATTTAGAAACGAAGCAATTTAGTGATTCTTGTTCATTGACGAATATTGCTGTCTTCAAGTAATTCAAAATTCATAAAACGAATATTACTTAAAAGTGATTCCTTATGTTTCAACTGATCGAAAATACTTTAAAATCAATTATAAAACTTGTATGGAAAAGAAAAATAACATAGGAAAGCAATTGAATAGCACATTGTAAATTTGTGATAATAGTTTTTCAAAATATTATCATTATGGGCTGGAGAAAAGTTCTTCGTGATAATTTTATATATTCCTATGTGGGGACATTTGCTTATTTTCTCGTCTGGTTGGTTTATAAATCAAAATAAGCGTATATTGTATGTAATATATAAACAAATAAATAGGACCCTACGAGACAGCCGGCGAGACCAAATGGCCGAGGCTTAGGGCGAAAGGGATGGAAGGGAGGAGATACCGAGGGACGATGCGGGCGGTATCGAGGACTGCCTGCCTTCTGAATTTGAGCTTGGAGTGGTCCGTCCCGAGGTCCCAATCACCTCAGATGTTCGCAGAGGTTGACTAGGATTAACCCATTGACAGAAACGACTATCGGGATAATTTCGGCTGGCACATGATACAACATGTCGGTCACCTCATGAGCCAGGTCCAGATAATTCGTAGACGATGAGGTCGACACAGACGATATTCTTGTTAATATTATAATACTAGTTGCTGTCCGCGACCACCTTGGCGTAGAATAGACTGAAGGCGTAAAATTCTGACAGAAAGACAAATGTACATAAAATATGTATAAAAATTATAGCCTATGTCTTATTCTGATGTATAAGCTAAATTATTGTAAAGTTTCATTAACATCCATTCAGTAGTATTTGCGTAAAAGAGTAACAAACATCCATCTATACATACAAACTTTCACCTTTATAATATTAGTAAGGATTATTTGGATTGACCTTTGTTCTTTGATTTATAAGCCAAGGTTTTTTGGTTGTGTAATTTTGTAATTTACTGTTTTTTTTCCTCGCAAATTATCATTAGCATTTTTATAGAAATTACGTTCTATCGGTTCAAAAAAATAAGACAGAAGGATAAATTAAGCCGTTGCATCCAAGATTTTTACGACTATAAGTTTTTTTTAATTGAAGTAATACTTTTGTCGGCGCGATTGACAAAAATGACACACAGTGCGCACACTGACGTCTGAAAAGCGAAATGATGAAGATAAAAGCAAAGCTAACAACTACGACAAACTTCACGGTATTTCCATGGCAACCAATAACAACTTTTTGATATTTAGGTTACCTACCATCCAAGTGTCTTTTGTTACGCTCAAGAAATCTAACTTCTTACGAGCGTAAAGTACACACATATTTTTTGAATGTTCATTACAGGTGTGCGATTGGCCCGAGGACGCCGGATGCGTGAAGTCTTCAGAAGAAACGTCGGGAGGTGACAGCTCTGAAGCAGACACTTCAGAAGTGGATGCTTCGGAAGAAGATACGCCGGAAGTGGACTCGCCGGACATGGACACTTCGGAAGAGGACACTTCAGAAGTTGATACGCCGGAAGTGGACAGTTCGAAAGAGGACTCTACGGAAGTAGAGAATCCGGGAGTGAATTCTTCGGAACTGGACCCGCTGGAACTTCTGAGTTCTAAGAAAATTGAGACAGTAGTTGATGTTAAAATATAATTTTATTGATTGTTACAATAATGACACGAATAAAGTCTGAACTTTGTCCATCTTCTTGACTCTGTTCCAAAAAACGCACTTAGTGCTTTTCCTATCGACTTGTTGAAAAAAATCAGATTATATCGGGTTTAATTCAAACTAATCTACTACAGCAACTTAGTTCGTGTGGGGTCTGGAAACAGTATTAAGTACTTCCTTTTATAATGCTCTCAATTTTGTATCATGGTAAATTTGAAGTTGCAAGGCTCTTTCGTATACGACACCATTTTATTTTCTATTTTATAATGAATAACGGTGCTTAGTCTTGGCTTGGTACCAGTAGAAATACAATACGAGTTAGGGAATACAATATTAAACATACAAAATTTTTAAGTTTTTTTATATTAAGACATTAAGACATTTAATCCGACACTTCATCTGCACACATATTACATTTGGTTACAATGTTTATAATTACAAAATAACAAACTAAAAAAAATTATAAAAATAAAATAAGCAAATAAATTAAATAACCTAAGAGTAATTACAAAAAGAAAAAAATAATAAGTTAAAATAAAAGAAAGAATAAAAATAAAAGAAATTTATAAATAAGGATGTAGTGACGGAAAGGACTGACTCAGCATATGCCGCGCAGTACTGCGGTGCTGATTTTCAGTCGGCCCAAGCGTCCGTAGGCAACGGATATGCTACAGCAAGCGAGTAATAATATTTTTATTTATTGCTTTAGATGAGTCTAGTATATTAGTCTATAAAAAAAAATATTAAGTAAGCACACAATATACATATTTTTTGGTCTATTCGTAACATTGACAGTAACCGTAATAATTTTATAATTACAGTGTTTCTGAGTATAAAACAAATAAGCTCTACTTAAGTTTTCGCAATACACCTATCTTATTACAATAAGTTTACTTTTCTGTAAGCTAAATCTTGGAGCTAGATCAAAAAATAAATCTACGTCAGATGGAAGAACTTGCATTGCATTATACAGAGTCTTTGCATGAGACGTGAAGGAAAATGTGGTAAGCATAATACATATACATACATTATATTCCTTAACAAATAACGAAATATATTTATGTAGTTATAATTAGTAAATACAGTTAAATATAACATTATGAATATTAAATTTTTATTTATTCGTTTGGCCTTTACAAATAGATTAATTTTGGATGAGTTTTGTTTAGCATGTACCCTTCTGTTCGTTTATTTAAAAAATCTTTAAGTTAGTTCTAAATTTGCCTAATGTTTTTACATCACGAATCGGTGGCGGAACGTTATTCCAACAGTGGGTAGCTGCGTATTTAAAACTTCCTCTGAACGCAGCCGAACTATGCCTAGGAACACTTGCTTTATAAGAGGAGGCTCGAGTGATATACTTATTGTGTTCCCGACACCACTCTAGTTTGCTATAGAGATATTTAGGTTTTTTTTGTTGTGATCACTCCGAAAAGTGCACAAGCAAAGTGGAGCTTGCGTCTGGCCGCCATTTTGAGCATATTATTTTCATTGAGAAACGGGCTTACATGACCTGTAGGCGGCACATCAAAACAAAACCTGACACAAGCATTTTGAACGAGCTGAATAAGGCGTGCGGTTTGGGTCAGTAAGCACGGCCCATTTAAAATGTCAGCATAATTAAATTTCGACAATATGAGTGTATCTGTCAATTTCTTACGCAATTCAATACTCAAGTACTCACGCATTTTATATAAAATCTTTAATCGGTAAAAACAGTTTCTAACAACGCCTCCAATATAGTCTTCAAATCTTAAATCAGGGCTAACCATAACTCCCAAATTACGCACAATTTCCACCCTTTCCAAAACCGTTCCTTTAATATGCACTTTAGTATTGTAATTATTAATTTTTTCTAGTTGTTTTTTGGTTCGAAAACTTAAGTACTTTGTTTTTAACGGATTCAACACTAAAGATTTTTTTTCGGACCACTTCACTATTCTATCCAAGTCATCATTTAGTTTTTGAATCGCGTTTGTACTATGAATAGGTTCGAAGGTGATATAAATCTGTGTATCGTCTGCATAGATGTGATATTTACAATGTTTTAAGCGAAGTATATAAAGAAAATAGCACTGGTCCCAAAACTGATCCTTGCGGAACACCTCTTGTAATCTGTTGTGGAGATGATACATAGTTTTTTCCATTTTCTTTAGTAATTTATATTTGTTGAGAACGTCCATTAAGGTAGCTACCAAACCATTTAATTGTATTCGGGCCAAATCCGTAAAAAGCCATTTTGCAGAGAAGTAGCGTGATATCTATTGTGTCGAATGCTCTGGAATAATCTAATAAGACTAGGACTGTTCCTCGTCCTACATCTTGAGCTTCCAATATATTACCTATTACATCAGAGAGCGCAGTAGCTGTACTTCTTCCCTTCCTGAAGCCGGATTGAAACTCAGGTAAAATAGAATTTTCTTCAAGATACGATGTTAATTGTTGACAAACTATTTTCTCGAGAATTTTCGATAAACACGGTAATAAACTTATAGGCCTTAGATCTTTGACGCTTTCTGGGTTCATATTTTTAGGTAAAGGACGTATGAGAGCCCTCTTCCAGATATCGGGGACAGTATTAGTACTGATTGAACGGTTAATTATGGAAGTTATAGCATCTAAACTTTGTGGAACTGTGCTCAGAATCATATTAATCGACATCCCATCACTCCTATGATATGATATAATATGGCAGATATCACCTTTCTTTTCAGCGTAGCTTTCTGCGTAAAAAAGTTTTATAAATCAGTTCAGCAGGTTCAGAGATAACTTGTTACAGACTAACAGACAATTATATAAAGCACTATAAAAATTATTTGTATTTAAAAGTATTTCTTATTTACTTTTATTTGTATTTCAATATTTACTTCCAATTGTGGTTAAGCCACGTAACAGACTTCGCTGATGGCGGCCTCGTAGTCCAGAAAACTATTATAAAAATAAAACTAAGAAGAACAAAGCGATGTCAAACTTGTCTGTGTTATCAAGTGTACTGGAAAACGGTAACGAAGAGCTAGTGCAGTATATCATACAATTTTATTTGTTATTTTTAATTAATGATCATATTACACAGTCCTTTAAGGACTATTGAAAACGAATAACATCTAATATTATTATTAGGTGTCGAAGAAAAATTTATTTGCGCTGTAATTAACACTTTGTTAAATTATAATTACGTGTATAAAGTTTTAAAGGTGACGGATACACCTTGATACAGTCTTGGGCCTAGGTTACCTTAAACGTGATAGTGTGTCAGTTAAAAGTTTATCAACCTAAGCCTGAAAATATTACGAATGTTACCAATGTGAAAGCAGTTACAGGATATTTTGTCAAAGTTGAATTAGTCGACAATAGTTCCTAATCCATACATTATGAAGTTTTTTTTAGTGCTAATCTCTGCCCTTAAGATTGAACCTTAAAACATGTAGAAGAAGTACGAAAAGATTGTTGCCGCTGTGGGAATCGAACCCACGTCTTCGGCATTCGCGGCCTGACGCTCTATTCACTGAGCTCAACGGCTAATAGCCACAGATTTTGATGATTTTAATTTGATTTTTCGTTGATACTTTTTCTTTCACGAAAAACGTTTTTATTTTCTGTCCGAAAATAATAAGATATAGTCACTTTTTTGTTCTTTATTAAAATTTTGGTAGGTTTCGTTTTTTTTGTTACATTAAAAAATGCTTATAGTGGCTTTTTTATAAGTTTTGAGACCAACACTTTTCTCCTTAAAACAATAATTATTCGAAATTAATTTTCGTAACGCTTACAGTCAACTATATAATTGATAGAATTTTAAATTTCAAAAAACTTTAGATATTTACAAATAAGAAAGTGTCAATTATAATACTCTTCATACATTCTTAATATTGTAATTTTATTGTCTTGGCTTACATGAACATTTATTAAAAAGCCAGTACTACGAGTATAATAGTAGTATAACAATAGTCTATATATTTATCATATAAAATACGTTATTTTTATGAAACCATTTTTACGTTATAGGGTTATAGCTATTTTCGCCTTTAATCTTCATATTCGATAGGATCATTTTTAAGTTGTGTTTCTTTAATAACCAGATTCTTTTAGGCGTTTCACGGATGAATAAATTTTCACCAATAACGGTGTAATCCGTAGATTGTGCTAGATTCCTAAATATAATGTTGAAAATACATTCTTTATAAGAATATTGAAGTTATGGCGTACCGGATCAAAATATGTTACAGAAATAATAATAATATATATTTTAGGACACATTCCTTTTACACAACGGTCTCAAGTCTCAAACTAAGCAATGCTTGTACTATGGGTACTAGAAAACTGATAGACACACTTACACATACTTTTCTTTTGTAAATAAATACACATTATACATATATAAACACCCAGGCACTATTATATATAGACACGAACCTATTCATAGTACAAACGCGATTCAAAACTAAATGATTTTACTTTTTTTTTTTTAAACACCCAGACACTAGAAAAACACTATGCTATTCACACACCATTTTTCCAGTAGTGGGGATCGAACACAAACCCCCTGGCGCAGTAGGCAGGTACACTACCGAGTACGCCATTCGGGTCTTCAATAAAATATAGGTATTAAAAAAGATCCGTCTTATATGAAAATATAAACAAATTGATATAATACTTTGTCTTCCTATTATTATTACTTAATAATATACACCGAATAAGGAGTCGATGAGTAATTTGCTCGAAAACGTTCTCGTAAGGTCGAGAGCGTTCGGAAACCTACTCGGTGATCCTTTAGAGTTAATCGATTGGGGTTTCCGCCCGACAACACTATTCATACAAACTGATAGCGCACATAACCACCTACCATCGATTTCGTTCTCACTATCCCCAGACAACGAGACTAAGGCCTGTCCAAAGCTATCCGTAGGTGATAATTCTATTAATCATAATAGTAGGTAAATCTCGCATGAGCACATGCGCAAATCTAACTAATTCTTGGAATCTGTCCGTACCACCTGCTTGGTGTACGATGAGACTATCTTAGACCACAGCCTGATAGCAGGAACGTCATTCGTCAAGAAAAGATGACTACTGTTGGAAAAGAAATGAAGAGTAGTTTAAATAAAACAATACTTTTATGATACATTACTTAAGAAGCATAGATATTAATACCTCAGTGTAAGGAGCTGTTCTTTCTATACGTGGCAGGCATATCGACATATATAGTACAGATATTGTATCTCGACAGATATATTGAATACTTTAAACTTCTTCGACGGATGTATTCTTAACAGTAAATCTACCTTTTGCAACCTCATTCTGCAACCTCACTATTCTTAACCCAATATTTAAATCCATGGCAAACAGCAAACTGGCCTATAATGCTGGAATTTGAAAACTATTAGGTGGGGGAAAAACTCTTTTCTTAGTATGTATGAACTTATAATATAATCTATGTTTATCAAAGGCTATACCATTTGTATCTGGCTGGTTTTGGTATTATTAAAAAGTTCAAATTTTAAAAAAGATAATTCCAAACTCAAATTAAGAAAATTTGTGATTTTCAATTGTTTTTCTTACTGTTAAGATGAATGATTGTAATGAAGAAATTCGATACATTTTAAAATTTTACTACTTAAAAGGTAAAAATGCAACTCAAGTCGAGAAAAAAATTTGTGATGTTTATGGACCTAGTGCAGTGTCTGTGAGAGTAGCAAAAATTTGGTTTAAGCGTTTTCAAATCGGAAATTTTGATGTCAAAGATTCACCTCGCTTTAGGCGCATTTTACGGATATAATAGATGCCATTTTTTAAAAAGTGGAGCAAGATTATCAGTAGTTTCGATAAAGGTGAAGAACTGAGAATTGACCACAAAACAGTTTTGGCGCATTTGAAAAAAGCTGGGTACACAAAAAAGGTCGATACTTGGGTGCTTCATGAGCTCACTGAAAGAAACCTAATGTACCGTGTACTCATTTGTGATTCTTTATTACGACGTAATGAAACCGAATCATTTTTGAAAAACCTGATAACTGGTGATGAGAAGTGGATCACGTATGACAAGAACGTGCGAAAAAGGTTGACCACGTCAAAGGCTGGTGAGGCTCCGCAGACTCTGACGAAACCCGGGTTATCTCGCAACAAGGTAATTCTGTGCGTATGGTGCGTATTAATTATGAGCTGTTACTGCCATACAGGACCATCGATTCTGAACTCTACTGCGAACAACTGATGAGATTAAAGCAAGAAGTTGAGAGAAAGGGGCCGGAATTAATAAACAGAAGGGGTGTGATTTTTCATTATGATAACGCTAGACTTCACACATCTTTAGCCACTCAGCAAAAATAAAGAGAGATTGGCTGGGAGGTGTTAATTCATCCGCCGTATATTCTTGAACCTTGCACCTTCAGATTTCCACTTGTTTCGGTCTCTTCAGAATTCTTTAGGCAGTGTCAGGACGAGAGGACGTCATCACGAGAGGACTGCCTAAACCACTTGTCGTGGTTTTTTGATCAGAAACCTCAGAATTTCTATAGCAATGGTATCATGTCCCTACCTACAATATGGCAGAAAGTTATCGAACAAAATGGCACCTACGTACTTTAGTTAAATGTAAATAAACTTTATTGAAAAATGTTTTGAATTTTCATATAAAATGCGAAGAAACTTTTTCCCCAGCCTATTATATTCACTGTACAAATTATTTGTTCAAACTAGTTCGTCTATATTTTTAAATATGGTTAAAAAGTGTACATGTTTATTACAGTAAGTTCGGTTATTAACTGTGGTTGGGCCACGCAACAGTACTCGATGTTGCACGAATGCGCAGGTCCTCCCGGGTACCTTGACCTCACAGAAGACTATATAGGAATTATATTACGTCCGCGTTTCGTCTGGTGAGTGCGGTAGCCGGGGCCCACTTTATTAACAAAACTTACGAATTAGGAAAGATATAGAAGCTCGTCAGTGGGAAGTAAACTTAAACTTAAGTTGACTTTAAATGTTAAAAAGCAACAAAGAGTTATTTGCAACTTAAATTTTTTAAAACTTTATAAAACGAACGTTGTATACGTGTACAACGTTCGTTTTTCGTTGTACCTATAATTAGTGTAAATCTTTTTCCTCTTTTAATTGACTTTAACAGTTTACACATTAAGTATTGTTTCATGTTTAACTATGGTGAACTATTGCATTTTTAGTTACTTGCAGCATTAGCTGGAACTGATAACTGCAATCATTAAATTAATTGACAATGGATGAAATAATGCATTTCCCTTAACGGTTTCTAACTTGCTTCTTTATTGTATTCTGTATAATATAGTAACATAGTTGGGCCAGGTATCGAGATATTTCCCTTCGGAACAGGTTCCCGCCTTGTCGTGGCGGAGAGACTTAGTACCCCTGGCTTGGTCACCCATGGTGAAGCCAAATGGAACCCACACTGGGTTGGCCTGTGTGGATGGCCGGCCCGAGAGGGCCGTACCGTGCTTGGAAGGTCCGGGGACAGGTCGCTGTGTATTAGCACTGGCTCTTCTGGATCCTATGGCCTCTGGTCAGCGATCTTGGGGTAGGAAGGCACGCTGAATATTCCACAGTGCCTTACCTGAAGGAGAGGAGACTTGCTCCCTGAGAAGGGGCATCTGAGGCGGCGGGCAAAGCGGGCCACGGGCACCCAACCTAAATGCACTCCAGGGGGGGTTTTTAGTTGGTGGGTAGTGCGACCTTGCCCCCGCAACGATGGTCTGCGTAGGCATTTTCATACGTTAACAAAAAATAGCTATCGAGATAATTTGATATTCCCAGTGCATTTTCTGACACAAATTCTTTGACATACTCATCATAACCAAACAAATAAAAAGAATTCCGATAAAAAAGTTTTTATTTCTAAACCTATAATGTACGTAAATTCGTCTACAAATTATTATTCTTATTAATATATAGCTGATATTATTAATATCAATGAATCACAAAGAAACATCGTACCAACTAATAACACGTCTATGTAAACTTTTATTAACATTTTATATTTCCTCCCAGTTTACCAAATTACACAAAACTTTCAGGAATGGCATCATAAAACATTGGCTATATACATACATAATTATAATATATTTTTTATTAAAACAGTCAGGTCTAAATTTGTTCGAAATCTAAACGATTGCCTTCCTCAGAACAACTTCCTTGACTATCATCTATTTCTTACGAATTATTCATTATTAAGTTCCAGTTGATACAGCTTTTGAAAGAAAACAAAAAAATGAAGCTAAATAATTAAATATTTTATTTAGATATCAATTTTATCAAAGAGTTAATTTTTTTGGTATTTTATATAGAACATTTTCAAAAGCATCATATAAGCATAACATTCAAATAACTTACTCTAATGTAATATAGATCAAAAGGGTAAATACTTTTTTACATTTTTAAAGCTTTTGGCTCCTCAAGATGTCGATTGCAAACCATTCTTAATAAGAGTGTTTCATTCTTCACGAGAAACAAAACGATTACCACAGTCAACATTATAGGGCCACTCACACTGGTTTGTTTCTGGCTGATATAACAGATTTGGAGGGCATGTAAGTATAACGGGTTTGTTTTGGACACAAACATAGAACTGATTACAATTGTGATGTGGTATGAAAATTGAATCAGAACTTTCGGACGCACAAATTGTGATCACTTCAACAGGAATGTTAGTATCATCTTCATTTCCACAGTTATTATTGCAACTTTCACCATTTTCATCGCCGTCGGATATAATCCTTTCACCACAGGTAACGTTTTCTGGCCAGTCACACTTCTCCTTATAAGGATCATATAATAGATTCGTAGGGCAATTTTGAACTATAGGGCTACCATTGGAACACTTATAGAATTGGTTGCAGTATTCGTGAGCCACCAAGATGCCATCCGATCCTGATGCGGAACAAAGAGAAGGAGCTTCGATAGGGTTGCAGTTGCAAGTATCATTTCCCCCACCTTCGCTATCTCCAGAACCATCGTCGTTTCCATTACTGTCAGGAATAACTCTATCGCCACACTTAACGCTTTCTGGCCAATCGCATTGTTCCCTATAAGAGTTATACAAAAGATTGTCTGGACAGAACATGATTACGGGTAAACCATCGAAACATTTGTAGAATTGGTTGCAGTTTTCATGCGCGACTAAGATACCATTCGAGCCTGGCGCGGCGCAAAGTGATGGAGCTTCACCCGGATTGCAGTTGCAGGTACCGTTACCGCCGCCACCACTGTCTCCACCTCCATTGTCTCCACCACCTCCGCCCCCAGAACCGCCATCACCATTTCCTCCACCGCCGTTGTCGTCACACTCAGGAATAACTCTGTCGCCGCAATCCACGTTTTCAGGCCAGTCGCATTGTTCTTTATAAGGATTGTAATGAAGATTTCCAGGACAGTCCATGGCAACAGGTAAGCCATTGTAGCACTTGTAGAACTGGTTGCAGTTTTCATGTGCCACTAAGATTCCATTTGAGCCTGGTGCGGCACAAAGTGATGGAGCTTCGCCCGGATTGCAGTTGCAGGTACCGTTACCGCCACCACCACCGCTGTCTCCGCCTCCATTATCTCCACCTTCATTATCTCCATCTCCACCTCCACTGTCTCCACCACCTCCGCCTCCATCGCCGTTGTCGTCACACTCAGGAATAACTCTGTCGCCGCAATCCACGTTTTCAGGCCAGTCGCATTGTTCTTTGTAAGGATTGTAATGAAGATTTCCAGGACAGTCCATGGCGACAGGTAAGCCATTGTAGCACTTGTAGAACTGGTTGCAGTTTTCATGTGCCACTAAGATTCCGTTTGAGCCTGGTGCGGCACAAAGTGATGGAGCTTCGCCCGGATTGCAGTTGCAGGTACCGTTACCGCCACCACCACCGCTGTCTCCGCCTCCATTATCTCCACCTCCACTGTCTCCACAACCTCCGCCTCCATCGCCGTTGTCGTCACACTCAGGAATAACTCTGTCGCCGCAATCCACGTTTTCAGGCCAGTCGCATTGTTCTTTGTAAGGATTGTAATGAAGATTTCCAGGACAGTCCATGGCGACAGGTACGCCATTGTAGCACTTGTAGAACTGGTTGCAGTTTTCATGAGCCACTAAGATTCCATTTGAGCCTGGTGCGGCACAAAGTGATGGAGCTTCGCCCGGATTGCAGTTGCAGGTACCGTTACCGCCACCACCACCGCTGTCTCCGCCTCCATTATCTCCACCTCCACTGTCTCCACCACCTCCGCCTCCATCGCCGTTGTCGTCACAATCAGGAATAACTCTGTCGCCGCAATCCACGTTTTCAGGCCAGTCGCATTGTTCTTTGTAAGGATTGTAATGAAGATTTCCAGGACAGTCCATGGCGACAGGTACGCCATTGTAGCACTTGTAGAACTGGTTGCAGTTTTCATGAGCCACTAAGATTCCATTTGAGCCTGGTGCGGCACAAAGTGATGGAGCTTCGCCCGGATTGCAGTTGCAGGTACCGTTACCGCCACCACCACCGCTGTCTCCGCCTCCATTATCTCCACCTCCACTGTCTCCACCTCCACTGTCTCCACCACCTCCGCCTCCATCGCCGTTGTCGTCACACTCAGGAATAACTCTGTCGCCGCAATCCACGTTTTCAGGCCAGTCGCATTGTTCTTTGTAAGGATTGTAATGAAGATTTCCAGGACAGTCCATGGCGACAGGTAAGCCATTGTAGCACTTGTAGAACTGGTTGCAGTTTTCATGTGCCACTAAGATTCCATTTGAGCCTGGTGCGGCACAAAGTGATGGAGCTTCGCCCGGATTGCAGTTGCAGGTACCGTTCCCGCCACCACCACCGCTGTCTCCGCCTCCATTATCTCCACCTCCACTGTCTCCACCACCTCCGCCTCCATCGCCGTTGTCGTCACACTCAGGAATAACTCTGTCGCCGCAATCCACGTTTTCAGGCCAGTCGCATTGTTCTTTGTAAGGATTGTAATGAAGATTTCCAGGACAGTCCATGGCGACAGGTAAGCCATTGTAACACTTGTAGAACTGGTTGCAGTTTTCATGTGCCACTAAGATTCCATTTGAGCCTGGTGCGGCACAAAGTGATGGAGCTTCACCCGGATTGCAGTTGCAGGTACCGTTACCGCCACCACCACCGCTGTCTCCGCCTCCATTATCTCCACCTTCATTATCTCCACCTCCACTGTCTCCACCACCTCCGCCTCCATCGCCGTTGTCGTCACACTCAGGAATAACTCTGTCGCCGCAATCCACGTTTTCAGGCCAGTCGCATTGTTCCTTGTAAGGATTGTAATGAAGATTTCCAGGACAGTCCATGGCGACAGGTAAGCCATTGTAGCACTTGTAGAACTGGTTGCAGTTTTCATGTGCCACTAAGATTCCATTTGAGCCTGGTGCGGCACAAAGTGATGGAGCTTCGCCCGGATTGCAGTTGCAGGTACCGTTACCGCCACCACCACCGCTGTCTCCGCCTCCATTATCTCCACCTTCATTATCTCCACCTCCACTGTCTCCACCACCTCCGCCTCCACCGCCGTTGTCGTCACACTCAGGAATAACTCTGTCGCCGCAATCCACGTTTTCAGGCCAATCGCATTGTTCTTTGTAAGGATTGTAATGAAGATTTCCAGGACAGTCCATGGCGACAGGTAAGCCATTGTAGCACTTGTAGAACTGGTTACAGTTTTCATGTGCCACTAAGATTCCATTTGAGCCTGGTGCGGCACAAAGTGATGGAGCTTCGCCCGGATTGCAGTTGCAGGTACCGTTACCGCCACCACCACCGCTGTCTCCGCCTCCATTATCTCCACCTTCACTATCTCCACCTCCACTGTCTCCACCACCTCCGCCTCCATCGCCGTTGTCGTCACACTCAGGAATAACTCTGTCGCCGCAATCCACGTTTTCAGGCCAGTCGCATTGTTCTTTGTAAGGATTGTAATGAAGATTTCCAGGACAGTCCATGGCGACAGGTAAGCCATTGTAGCACTTGTAGAACTGGTTGCAGTTTTCATGTGCCACTAAGATTCCATTTGAGCCTGGTGCGGCACAAAGTGATGGAGCTTCGCCCGGATTGCAGTTGCAGGTACCGTTACCGCCACCACCACCGCTGTCTCCGCCTCCATTATCTCCACCTTCATTATCTCCACCTCCACTGTCTCCACCACCTCCGCCTCCACCGCCGTTGTCGTCACACTCAGGAATAACTCTGTCGCCGCAATCCACGTTTTCAGGCCAGTCGCATTGTTCTTTGTAAGGATTGTAATGAAGATTTCCAGGACAGTCCATGGCGACAGGTAAGCCATTGTAGCACTTGTAGAACTGGTTGCAGTTTTCATGTGCCACTAAGATTCCATTTGAGCCTGGTGCGGCACAAAGTGATGGAGCTTCGCCCGGATTGCAGTTGCAGGTACCGTTACCGCCACCACCACCGCTGTCTCCACCTCCATTATCTCCACCTTCATTATCTCCACCTCCACTGTCTCCACCACCTCCGCCTCCACCGCCGTTGTCGTCACACTCAGGAATAACTCTGTCGCCGCAATCCACGTTTTCAGGCCAGTCGCATTGTTCCTTATAAGGATTGTAATGAAGATTTCCAGGACAGTCCATGGCGACAGGTAAGCCATTGTAGCACTTGTAGAACTGGTTGCAGTTTTCATGTGCCACTAAGATTCCATTTGAGCCTGGTGCGGCACAAAGTGATGGAGCTTCGCCCGGATTGCAGTTGCAGGTACCGTTACCGCCACCACCACCAGCGCTGTCTCCGCCTCCAATCTCCACCTTCACTATCTCCACCTCCACTGTCTCCACCACCTCCGCCTCCACCGCCGTTGTCGTCACACTCAGGAATAACTCTGTCGCCGCAATCCACGTTTTCAGGCCAGTCGCATTGTTCTTTGTAAGGATTGTAATGAAGATTTCCAGGACAGTCCATGGCGACAGGTAAGCCATTGTAGCACTTGTAGAACTGGTTGCAGTTTTCATGTGCCACTAAGATTCCATTTGAGCCTGGTGCGGCACAAAGTGATGGAGCTTCGCCCGGATTGCAGTTGCAGGTACCGTTACCGCCACCACCACCGCTGTCTCCACCTCCATTATCCACCTCCACCTTCATTATCTCCACCTCCACTGTCTCCACCACCTCCGCCTCCACCGCCGTTGTCGTCACACTCAGGAATAACTCTGTCGCCGCAATCCACGTTTTCAGGCCAGTCGCATTGTTCCTTATAAGGATTGTAATGAAGATTTCCAGGACAGTCCATGGCGACAGGTAAGCCATTGTAGCACTTGTAGAACTGGTTGCAGTTTTCATGTGCCACTAAGATTCCATTTGAGCCTGGTGCGGCACAAAGTGATGGAGCTTCGCCCGGATTGCAGTTGCAGGTACCGTTACCGCCACCACCACCGCTGTCTCCGCCTCCATTATCTCCACCTCCACTGTCTCCACCACCTCCGCCTCCAGAACCGCCATCACCATTTTCTCCACCGCCGTTGTCGTCACACTCAGGAATTACTCTGTCGCCACAATCCACGTTTTCAGGCCAGTCGCATTGTTCTTTGTAGGGATTATAATGAAGATTGCCAGGACAGTCCATGGCAACGGGTAAGCCATTAAAGCACTTGTAGAACTGGTTACAGTTTTCATGTGCCACTAAGATTCCATTTGCGCCTGGTGCGGCACAAAGTGATGGAGCTTCGCCCGGATTACAGTTGCAGGTACCGTTACCGCCACCACCACCGCTGTCTCCGCCTTCATTATCTCCACCTTCATTATCTCCACCTCCACTGTCTCCACCACCTCCGCCTCCACCGCCGTTGTCGTCACACTCAGGAATAACTCTGTCACCGCAATCCACGTTTTCAGGCCAGTCGCATTGTTCTTTGTAAGGATTGTAATGAAGATTTCCAGGACAGTCCATGGCGACAGGTAAGCCATTGTAGCACTTGTAGAACTGGTTACAGTTTTCATGTGCCACTAAGATTCCATTTGAGCCTGGTGCGGCACAAAGTGATGGAGCCTCTCCCGGATTGCAGTTGCAGGTACCGTTCCCGCCACCACCACCACTGTCTCCACCTCCATTATCTCCACCTCCCCTGTCACCACCACCACTGTCTCCTCCAGAACCGCCATCACCGTTTCCTTCACCGCCGTTGTCGTCACATTCAGGAATAACTCTGTCACCACAATCCACGTTTTCAGGCCAGTCGCATTGTTCTTTGTAGGGATTGTAATGAAGATTTCCAGGACAGTCCATGGCGACAGGTAAGCCATTGTGGCACTTGTAGAACTGGTTGCATTTTTCATGTGCCACTAAGATTCCATTTGAGCCTGGTGCGGCACAAAGTGATGGAGCTTCGCCCGGATTGCAGTTGCAGGTACCGTTACCGCCACCACCACCGCTGTCTCCGCCTCCATTATCTCCACCTTCATTATCTCCACCTCCACTGTCTCCACCACCTCCGCCTCCACCGCCGTTGTCGTCACACTCAGGAATAACTCTGTCGCCGCAATCCACGTTTTCAGGCCAATCGCATTGTTCTTTGTAAGGATTGTAATGAAGATTTCCAGGACAGTCCATGGCGACAGGTAAGCCATTGTAGCACTTGTAGAACTGGTTACAGTTTTCATGTGCCACTAAGATTCCATTTGAGCCTGGTGCGGCACAAAGTGATGGAGCTTCGCCTGGATTGCAGTTGCAGGTACCGTTGCCGCCACCACCACTGTCTCCTCCTCCATTATCTCCACCTCCATTGTCTCCACCACCTCCGCCCCCAGCACCGCCATCACCATTTCCTCCTCCGCCGTTGTCGTCACACTCAGGAATAACTCTGTCGCCACAATCCACGTTCTCAGGCCAGTCGCATTGTTCTTTGTAGGGATTATAATTAAGATTGCCAGGACAGTCCATAGCGACGGGTAAGCCATTAAAGCACTTGTAGAACTGGTTGCAGTATTCATGCGCAACTAAGATTCCATTTGAGCCTGGTGCGGCACAAAGTGATGGAGCCTCTCCCGGATTGCAGTTGCAGGTACCGTTCCCGCCACCACCACCACTGTCTCCACCTCCATTATCTCCACCTCCACTGTCACCACCACCTCCGCCTCCAGAACCGCCATCACCGTTTCCTCCACCGCCGTTGTCGTCACATTCAGGAATAACTCTGTCACCACAATCCACGTTTTCAGGCCAATCGCATTGTTCTTTGTAAGGATTGTAATGAAGATTTCCAGGACAGTCCATGGCGACAGGTAAGCCATTGTAGCACTTGTAGAACTGGTTGCAGTTTTCATGTGCCACTAAGATTCCATTTGAGCCTGGTGCGGCACAAAGTGACGGAGCTTCGCCCGGATTGCAGTTGCAGGTACCGTTACCGCCACCACCACCGCTGTCTCCGCCTCCATTATCTCCACCTTCATTATCTCCACCTTCACTGTCTCCACCACCTCCTCCTCCACCGCCGTTGTCGTCACACTCAGGAATAACTCTGTCGCCGCAATCCACGTTTTCAGGCCAATCGCATTGTTCTTTGTAAGGATTGTAATTAAGATTTCCAGGACAGTCCATGGCGACAGGTAAGCCATTGTAGCACTTGTAGAACTGGTTGCAGTTTTCATGTGCCACTAAGATTCCATTTGAGCCTGGTGCGGCACAAAGTGCTGGAGCTTCGCCCGGATTGCAGTTGCAGGTACCGTTGCCGCCACCACCACTGTCTCCACCTCCATTGTCTCCACCACCTCCGCCTCCAGAACCGCCATCACCATTTCCTCCACCGCCGTTGTCGTTACATTCAGGAATAACTCTGTCACCACAATCCACGTTTTCAGGCCAGTCACATTGTTCTTTGTAGGGATTATAATGAAGATTTCCAGGACAGTCCATGGCGACAGGTAAGCCATTGTAGCACTTGTAGAACTGGTTGCAGTTTTCATGTGCCACTAAAATTCCATTTGAGCCTGGTGCTGCACAAAGTGATGGAGCTTCGCCCGGATTGCAGTTGCAGGTACCGTTACCGCCACCACCACCGCTGTCTCCGCCTCCATTATCTCCACCACCTCCGCCTCCACCTCCACTGTCTCCACCACCTCCGCCTCCACCGCCGTTGTCGTCACACTCAGGAATAACTCTGTCGCCGCAATCCACGTTTTCAGGCCAGTCGCATTGTTCTTTGTAAGGATTGTAATGAAGATTTTCAGGACAGTCCATGGCGACAGGTAAGCCATTGTGGCACTTGTAGAACTGGTTGCAGTTTTCATGTGCCACTAAGATTCCATTTGAGCCTGGTGCGGCACATAGTGATGGAGCTTCGCCCGGATTGCAGTTGCAGGTACCGTTACCGCCACCTCCATTATCGCCAACACCACCATTTTCATTATCACCTCCGCCTTCTGTTTCTGGTAAAACTCTATCACCGCATTCAACGTTCTTAGGCCAATCGCACTGTTCAGTAATTGGATTATATAAAAGGTTTGTTGGGCACAATAACGCCACTGGTACACCTTCGGAGCATTTATAAAATTTATTGCAGTTCTCATTAGCGACTAGCACGCCGTCGGATCCTTCAGCAGCACAAATGGCAGGTGCCTGGCTGGGGTCGCAGTTTCCACCGTTTGACCCAGCCCCGCCATCAACGTCTCCGTTGCTATCTTCATCACTATCTGGTATAAGTCTGTCCCCACATACGACGTTTTCTGGCCAGTCGCACTCGAAAACGTCTATATTGAAGAGTAAATCATTCGGACACTTGTGCTCAACCAATACACCTTGGAAACATTGGTAAAACTTGTTACAATTTTCGTGCTCTAACAATTTTTCTACAGTGGCGTCCAAAGGACACCCGTACTTGTTCTTGTCCACCACATATCCTTTTGCAATTGTTAGTGCGCAGATCAGTGTGATCCCTGCGCCTGAAACGTTATATGTAAAAGTTAAATATGTATAAACACATACTAAATACAGAAAAGTAAAAAATATAGTTGGTTTTGCTTTTTTCAATACCTTCGTTAAGTTCATGTCATATCATAAGAAAAATTTTGTATAGATGTGTAGTAGAAGACTTAAAAAAAATTACTTGGTAAACCAAGGAAGAACGCTATTAAGGTCAACAATGACATAATGTATTGAACAAATTTTAACTTTACTAATCTTCGATGGCGAAATCACAATGATAGGGAATAGAAAAATAATCTGAAAAGAGTGTGGTCTTGGTGTGACAAAAAATTTACCATAAATAAAAACAATTTTTACAATGCTTACTATAAGAATGATCTCTCCTAAAGCAAGTACACGAAAAAAAATTAAAAAAAAAATTCTTAAAAGGAAGAAGACTTATTAGATTTTCTCGATACCCCAAATGACTTTTAGCCATTAAGATTAACCGAAATTTCGCCATCATTACACGATTGAAAAACTCTTGTACACTGTATAAAAATCAAAAAAAGGTACATGCAATGTACGTTGTAATTAAGATTATAACGTACATTTTCGCATAAATAAAAGAAATTAAACATTGTAATTATGTACGATTTTATATCATCATTAGTGATTTTATGATACGAATAGATTCATAGAAAATTAAAAAAAAACTTCTAAATATTTGTAATATGAATGGTAGAATGTGATCAAAGTAATTGAGTCATATTTCGAATAAATGTCACTTCGTACTGAGAAATAAACTTGAATTCCTAATTTATTCAGCAACGGAAGAACTAATGCACTCCACGCTTTATTGCGTAAAATAGAAAGAACAGATTTATTTACCTTTCATTATATTCCTGACACTTATATTATTGTAAGCTCCCGTTATGCACAGAATATATCATATCGAATTGTGAACTACACTTAATTTATACAGTCCGTCTGTTTTATACGTGAATTCAACTTATCAGCTTCTTTCTGAGAACGCATAATATCAAGTGCAAGATAATTGGTGAAATTCGATAAACAATCGAATAATCTGCATGAACACACTGATTTATCACTAATCTCTATGTAGATATTCCTATGATTTACCTTTTTAAAATTTCGATGATGACGATCAACGACAAGCAATGTTCATTTTGCTAAGAATACATGTCTATGTAAATTTACTTATATGGAAGCGAATGACGGATGATGATATCATCTAAGGATTTAAAATTGAAATTCGTACTCTAGATCCCCCTGTGCATGGTGTGTATTTGTGTTTATAGATTTACAAGTTTTCGGCCGGTAAAGGGGATCTTTGGGGTTTTTCTCCTCTTTTGAGGGCATTACGCTTTTTTTTTATTTACCTGAGGGGAAAGCCCACGCTTTTTCTCCATCTTCGCTGGGCCACGATGGGTTAAGGTGGACTTGCAGAAATTTGAACCCTATGACTTTCCATCAAGCTCACGTTGAAAAGTTTTGTACACTATTATACAGTCGCAAGTTTTTTTGTTAACGCCTTCAAGGGAGTAAGGGCGGGCTGTGTCAGACTCGCTTGGACCAAAACCGCCACGATGCAGTACGCAGGTTGCATATTGGCAGGGTCACGGAGACGTTTTCGCAAGCAGCCCCTCCATGGGCGGCAACGTCGTCTCCTCTAGGTAATATACACTGGAATTGAGCTGGCCCTTTCCTATAGGCAATGGACTTACGGAGTTCGCTGACAATTGAAATTCTGAGCAACGTTCAACTCCTCATCTAGTAGAGAAAATTCCCGAATTGGTTTCTAGACAGCATAATGAGGTATAACAAGACCATATTTATGGGAAGTGATCCGAGGGGATGTTTGTACCTGCGTTTCTTTTTACTACTCCCTTTTTTTACCGTGTAATGCGAAGATGAAGATGCGGCTTTCGAAGAAAATGACTAGTGCTGAGTAATAGTACGTCTATCACTTAGAGAAATGAATCGCGGCTGGTGATATTTCTCTACCCCCACAGATCTTAATCGTAAGTCAGCGTCGCTTTTTAACGACAATATATTTACTGCAGATTATACCTTTAATTTGTACTTCACCTGTGGTAAGGCTACACGACAACTTCTGCTGTTGCACGAGCAAGTTTGTGGGGTAACAATAACCCATACGAATGCAGGCTCGTCGGGGTACCACGACCTCACAGAAAACCGGCGTTAAGTGAAAGTATAATACTTTCGCGTTTCGTCTGGTGAGTGAGATGGCCGGAGCCCAATTTTCAAAAGGTTGCCGACGCATCTGGAACCCCATGGAACCCAGATGTCCATGGGCGGCGGTATTCACTTAGCATCAGATGAACCGTCTGCTCGCTTGACAACTTTCACATAAAAAAAAACCATACGAATGGGTTAGCTTGTCCAGGAAAGTACCAAGACCTCACAAAAGACAATACTGTAATAATCATTTATTTAAATTATCGGGAGAGATCATTTCCCAACATTAAAAGAAGCCGTGATAGCTCATTTTTCGGACGCTCGATTTTAATTCAATACACTCGAGCATATACCTAAGTTCGATCCCCGGTGGCGGGAATACCAATGAAATTGTTAATTTTCAGTGCTGAATTATCACGTGTTTAACAGTGAAGAAAAAAATAGTGAGGAACCCTGCATATTTGGGAAATAATAACAAAAAAATATTTCGAAGACATGTTAATTGTGCTGGCTAATCACGTGCTAAGCGGTGTAGCGAAACATCGTGAAGAAACCTGCATATTTTAAAAATATTAATAAAAAAATATTTCGAAGATATGTGAAGTCCGTCAATCCGCAGTGGGATCGCGTGGTGGACTATGCCCTTATACCTTCTGTACAGAGTAGGCCTTTGCCCAGCAGTGGGATATTTATAGGTTATTACAATACTTTGATTTTAATATAGTCCTAAAAAACACGGTTCGTGTTTTAATGACTGTCTGATATTTTGCTTCCTAAATGATGTTATTGTCAACACAGCAAAAAACACTAAGGCACATAAAAAGATTAGATTGTATTAGATCCTATCAATGGGTATCAGACCTTGAATGTCGAATAAAGGTCGCTTTAATATTTATTAGATATTGAATAAGCTTACTCTATAAATCATCAGTTTGTTAAAAAATCATTATTTTTTAACTGTATTCATAATAGCTACAGATAGCATTATTTAAGGTAAAAAAAAAACTCTGAAGTTTCACTTAAAATTCCTCAAAAATTAGGAAAAATAATTTAGTTACTTTTAATTAGCATAGTAATTAGCAATATTAACTTTGGTAAGCGATGCTATCAAAAAATCCTATATAATTTACTGGTATTGATAACCAGTTACTATTGAATAAAGTACTATTACAAGTTCTACAAAATGTTAAAACCTTTTAAATAACCCTTGTGAATTTGGGATATGTTAAACAACAAATGATGAAATTAAAAAAAAAAGTAATAAACGTAAATAGTTTAAATAATAAACATAAATATTTTAATTGTCGGTAGATAATAAGAAATCAAAGTAAGATTTTAAAGATAATGTCAATCGATTTGATGCAAACAGCAGGACTGTATCGCAATTACGTTTGTGTATATATGTATTTTATCTTTATTTAATGATGTTCCCGCTTAATCCGACGCAGAGCCGTGCAAAGGCCAAATTGCAAGAATTCTTTTTCAGCCTATGCGTTGCGTTTGGCCGCATGTGTTTTTCATTCATCCGAAGTCCTGAGGAATTATCACCTGCAGACTATGACGGACATAACAGACAAAACAGCAGGACTGTATCGCAATTACGTTTGTGTATATATGTATTTTATCTTTATTTAATGATGTTCCCGCTTAATCCGACGCAGAGCCGTGCAAAGGCCAAATTGCAAGAATTCTTTTTCAGCCTATGCGTTGCGTTTGGCCGCATGTGTTTTTCATTCATCCGAAGTCCTGAGGAATTATCACCTGCAGACTATGACGGACATAACAGACAAAACAACGGCCATTGTCTCATAAAAAGGCCAGGTGGATAAACAGTGGTATATATTTTCCGACCAGACTTGTAGATTGCCCATTTATGCGGGATAAATATTGTGTTTAAATACTTGCCACAGCAACACACACTGCGATATTTCACTAAGAAAGTAAGAAAAGTAAACTAGTGTTGTTGTCGCATCAGTTGTCTAATGTTGTATAGATTTTTCTTTCAGTTCCTATATAAGCCCGCTATGACACTTGAATTGAAATATATCAAGAAATATAGTATATGTATACTTCTGCGTTTCGTCTGGTGAGAGAGGTAGCCGAAGCCCACTTTTACTATGGCTACGATCTGCAACCTTAAAGGTGTTGTATGACCAAATGTCCATGAGCTGTGGTTATCACTTAACATCAGGTGACCCGACAGCTCGCTTGCCACCTTCTCACATAAAAAATATCATTACTTGATGCATTTCATTGATAATACTTGATATTGAGCAGTTAACAACTGTAGGTAAATTTAATTCATTACAGATAGCATCATAGATCTGTATTATGATTGCAACACCTTGCTACTGAGTTACATAATGTCAAGCAAGTCGTATATGGCGTTTATCTTCAAGCGAGCTTCTACGATCTAGAATCTACTGAAGTGCTATGTAGCAACACGAAATCACTCCGTGATGCCACCAGGTGAACTAAAGTGGACGTGTTACTGAGTCCTCTATCGCCCGCGAACCCAATATCCTCTTTTACGGATAAGGTTAATAATAATAAACCCTATTTTTTTTTAACTCGGGGGCTACAGAAGCCCAAAGCGTTATTTATAGTATTTTTCATCGAATCAACACTATTTATGTCGACGATTAACATTTCGTCTTATAGAAAAAAAATATTTAACGTCGCCTAAATTATCAATTATTTTTTAACTTATGTGCATACATGTATATATTGAGAACATTTTGTACTTGATTTCGCCGGTACGCATAACGTTAACATCAGTTCATACAAGACTTTTGTTGTTCCGTCATTAAATTATAATTTAAATAAGGATTGGCGCTGATCTAATAGAGAAAACATGACATAGCAAAAACTTTCTGACGGTTGCCACTAAGAACACGGACGCCTGTCTGTTGTCAACCCTGCTAGGGAACTAACACCAAAATCGGAATAGAACATGTGACCCCAGGATAAGCAACCGCGCCACCGAATCATTATTTGAGTTTCTAACCATTGATAGTTGTTGAGTTTCTTGCCGATCTCTCCTCAACAGAAACTGCTTTCCCGGTGGTAGCTTACGAACATATGTATAAATTTTTACGTTAAATCTTTTAATAAGAACGCGCAGGGCATTGTAAGAAAGGTATTTTTAATTTGAGTTTTATATTTTTTGAATATGTGTACTACTATTTAAAGCCCTTGTAACCTTAAATGTTGATTATATTTTGTTAATTTTACATTTAATGCGGATATATTGCTTCGATTTGTGTAGTTGCTTATCTAGATGATAGGGCGCTGCTTATCTGTGGTATGGACACAAAAATGATCGGTGTATTTGTGTAATCTTACAAGTATTGTCTATTGTTACATACTCCCGGTTCTAATTAGTTATATCTTTTAATAATTTAATGCTACGTGAACAAGTGCTCACGTCCTCTCACAATATTTTTCATGGGCAAGTGTTCTCGAAGGGGAACTCCAACTAGATAAAAATAGTAAAATATATACATTTCGATTGAAGCCAAGTGTGTACAGAATACCTCGCCATATCTATTTTATTATAATGGCATGTAATACTATTAAAGGTACTAATTATTTGATTAATTATTTTTATCCACCGATATTATCTTTCTGTTATCGAAATATTGGTAAATCACAACTTCTCGGAGCTTCTAGACT